GTAGCCTGGCTGTCCTGAAACTCCCTCTGTAGACCAGATAGACTTTGAACTCGCAGAGATCCTCCAGCCTCTGCCTCTGGCAGGCTTAAAGAGCACCACCACACCCTGAGTGCCTGAGAAATTTGGTGAGGTGTGTTTCAAGATGGGGTCTGGTAGTTCAGGACGGAATCCTAGCCTGGGGTAGGAGGCTTACCACAGTTCAAGGCCAACCAGGGCGCCAGCCAGGAGTTACAGACCCTGAGTGGTGGTTTGACTGAGAATGAGAAAAGCCCCTTTTAGGCTTTGGAACACTTGGTTCCGGCTGACAAAGTAATTCGGGGTAGTTTAGGAGGCTTGGTCTTGCTGGAGGAAATACGTCACTGGAGGCCTTTGCTGCTTCCTGCTTACGCTTGAGGACGTGTCGTGTCCTCTCAGATTCCTGCTCCAGCCACCAAGTAGGCATCTGTCACCTGTAAAAGCATGAAGCCATGAAGGAACTCTGTGCTGTCCTGGCCATTAGCATGGACACGGGACTTCTGCCCGACCCTGGAGGAAGGGAGTTGCCGGCCTATCGCAGCTCCGCAGCTCCGAGGGACGCTGAACCACACGGTGCCTCTTTCCTCTTCTGCGGAATGGAACTAAAACAGAATCCAGAGTTGTTCTGAGACCCCGGTACAAGACTGAAGTGTGTGGCAGAGCCAAGCCAAGCTCACGTCTTCATCTGTATCCACGGCTCCAATAATAGATGGGCGCGGGAAATTGACAAGAACCAGAAAGCAGTACGACCATGATTCTCAGCAGCGTTCTCGACTTCCTAGCGCTGCGGCCCTTCAGCACAGCTCCTCGTGCCGTGGTGGCCCGAACCATACAATTATTCCATTGCTGCTTCATAACTGTAGCGGTGCAATTGCTATGAACTATAAATATCTGATCTATGACCCCTAGAGGGGTCACGGCCCACAGGTTGAGAACTGGTGGAGGGAGGAGACAGCATCTACTCAAGGAAGCTTCTTACTAAACCACCCGTGGAGGAAGTGAGAAGGGCAAGAGAGGGTCCTGCTTGTTTTTCCAACAAATTTCCTCTAGACAACTACCCATCCTTGAGATAAGGACATGATGCTCTTGATGCTGCACTGGGGGTAGTTTCCAAACATTCCAACCATGGAATATTGGATTTGACCTCAACACACACACACACACACACCCCACAAACCCACAAAGCATGGTTAGTTGTGATGAGATTTATTTAACAAGCATCCATTGCGCATCTGCTAGTGTCTGCTGTTGGATGTTCTATGCTATGTGCCCAGGCTCTCTGCTAGGCTCTGGGAGTCTGCAAGCAAAGCCGAGAAGAGCCCTCAGGGGCTCACGTTCTAGAAAATTAACAGTGACAGCCAGCACAGCCCTGTCAGTTACCTTTCCCCTGCTCTGATTGATGATGCCTGGCAAAGACAGGGCCGACGAGGGGAGGGTCTATTTTGGCTCGTAGTTGGGGCGTTGCTACTCATCACAGTGAAGGAGGCACGGTGGCAGGAGTGTGAGGTCACGTGGCACCCACAGTGAGGAGGCAGAGAGACAATGCTGGTGCTCGGCTCACCTTTTCCTTTTATGCTGTCCCCAGAGGATGGAATGGTGCCACTCCCTGTTTAGGATGGGTCTTCCCACCTCGACCTTGTCTAGGTAATCCCTCACAGCACGCCAGAGGTTTGCCCCTTCAGAGATCGTAGGTCCTGTCGTTGGCAATATCACCCAGCACAATACCTTAGTGGAGTGCAGGGTAGCAATGGAGACAATGTGAGCCACATGCAGGGCCTGAGCTCTGCCCTAGACCTGTGGACAGAACTGTTAAGATCTCAGTAGCAACAATAAAAAGCCAGGAACTGGCTGGGCAGTGGTGGCGCAGGCCTTTAATCCCAGCACTCGGGGAGGCAGAAGCAGGCGGATCTCTGTGAGTTTGAGGCCAGCCTGGTCTACAGAGCGAATTCTAGGACAGACTCCAAAGCTACACAGAGAAACCTTGTCTCAAAATGAAAACAAACAAACAAACAAACAAGGCAGGAACTGGGTGTGTTGCAGCCTGTACCTGTAACCCTAGTCCTTAGGCTCTATAGATGGCTAAGCAATGAGAAAACCAAAAATAAACAGAGAGAAAAGAGATGAGGGACATTGTTATTTTCATTTATTTATTTGTGTTTCTTTTCTTTTTTCTTCTCTCTCTCTCTCTGTTTCTCTCTCTGTCTCTGTCTCTTTCTGTCTCTCTCTGTCTCTCTCTCTCTCTCTCTTGTATAGTCTCACTATATAGCCCCATCTGTCCTGAAACCCTCTCTGTAGACTAAACCAGGCTGGCCTTGAACTCACAGAGATCACCTGTCTCTACCTCCCAAGTGCTGAGATTACAGGAGCACACTTGGCTTTTTTTTTTTTGAGACAAGGTCTCCCCTAGCCCAGGCTAGCCCGAGTTCATTATGTGGCTAAAGTCAACCCTAAACTCATGATCCTCCTGCTTCTATCCACCATCTAATTACAAAGTTTTTAAGTGAAAAATTATTTGTCAGGCATGGTGGCACAGGCCTATAATCTTATCACCTGCGAGTTCGAGGCAGAAGGTTCATGAGTTTGAGGCCAACCTCAGCTACTTAGTAAAACCTTGTCTAAAAAAAAAAAAAACAACCTGGCTATGTAGAGAACCTGTCTCAAAACAACAACAACAACAACAACAACAATAATAAACTATCAATACCCAAAGTACTGGGCATGGTGATTCATATCTTTAATCCCAACACTCCAGAGGCAGAAGCAGGCAGGATCTCTGTGAGTTTAGGGCCAGCCTGATCTACATAGCAAGTTCCAGGATAGCCAGGGTTCATAGTGGGGCCCTGCCTCAAAGCCAAACCAAACCAAACCAAAATAGAGCCAGCGAGGCGACTCAGTGGTGAAGGTGCTCACCACTGGTGTGAGCCTGACAACCGCAGTTCGACCCCTGGAACCGAGTTTGGTCCCCAGAACCCAGGGAAGGTGGAAGGAGAGAATGGACGCTGTGAATTTCCCTCTGATCCCAAATGTGGCAGGGAAAGCACCATCTACCTGTGCTTTAAAAAAAATAGAAAGTAAGTAAGTGTTGTCCTGGCTAAGGTTTCTATTGCTGGGATAAACACCATGACCAAAAGCACCCTGGGCAGGAGAGAGGTTATTTCAGCTTACAACCGTCAGATCACACCACACCACTGAGCAAAGTCAGCAGGAACCTGGAGGCAGCAGCTGATGCAGAGGCCATGAAGGGTGATGCTTACTGGCTTGTTCCTCCTGGCTTGCCCAGCCCGCTTTCTTATACCATCTGAGACCATCTGCTCATGGTACTCCACCCCGAGTGAACCGCGTCCTCCCACATCAATCATCAATCAAGAAAATTCATCGCAGGCTTGCCCATAGGCCAACTTAGTGGGGACATTTTCTCAAAAGGGTTCCCTCCACTCAAACGACTTTAACTTGTGTTAAGCTAACATAAAAGTAGCCAGCACAATAAGTAAATGATAAAATAATTTTAAATTAATTGTAACTATATGCAATATGGTATGATAATAATGAATTTCACTTTAATGAGATGCAATTTAAATTACCTTAAATTTTAACTTAATTATTTTTTAAATGCGTGCGTGGGGGATGGAACTCAGGGGCCCATGCATGCAGGGACAAGCTTTTCCGCTGCTTCTCCAGCCCTTTCAACATTTCACAGATCTCAGCCACCATTCAAGTTCTTGGTAGCCACGTGTGACTGGTGCCACACGTGACTGGTGCCACGTGTGACTGGTGGCACATGTGACTAGTGCCACACATGACTGGTGCCACATGACTGGTGCCACACGTGACTGGTGGCATGATTGTTGAGGATGACTCCTGTGGGCAGCATCAGACAGGAGAAGGGCCTTGTGAGAAGGGGACACGGTTGACCGGCAAGGATGTTGGGTTGGACTGCTGCTGGCCTGGAGGCTTCCTGGCTATTGACTCCTCCCCTTCTTCCTCCTCCTCCATTGCAAAACTTATCCTGGCTCCAAAGAACCTTGAAGGTTTCTGGAAACGGCCCAGTTTGGGGGTAGCGCTCTTCACCAGCAAAGGGATGTATGGGAACGTGGGGGCCAAGCTCCCTCATGGGAGGAAAATGGGGCCTGGCTAGGACGAAGTGAGGGAAGGATGGGCCTGTTTAATGCAAAGTTTGGTGTTTTATTCACAGATGTTTTTGAATGACTTTCTAGTACGTAGCCCTGGCTGGTCCAGAACTCTTTGTCTGTGACATGCTTTTTACATTAATGAAAAACCTGAAAGGATGGAAAACACATTCACAGAAAAGCTTGAATGTGGTTGCTGTGAGCAAGCAGCCTTGCTCATTGTAGTCACAGGTAGAGGACCATAATTAGCCGCTCACGGATGCGTGGGGAAGCCTTGTCGCCTCCCAATAGCCCTTTATTCACTAGAGAAGGAATAAATGCGGATAAACCCATGCTCTGGACGAGTGAGCTTTGCAAACAGAATGCTAAAGATAGGCAGGCCCAGGGAGGGAGGGCTGGTCGGGCTGTGGCTGCCAGAGGCTGGGCTGGAGACCTGCACGGGGAGGGGCTGCTCAGTAGATGTGGTTTCTCTTAGGATGATGCGGATGCTCTAAGTAGATTGGATAGTGTGATGCAGTGCTGGGATGCACTAAAAACATCTCAAGAGGCAACAGGATGTTCATCAGGTAAATGTGCTTGTGGCCAAGTCTGACCACCTGAGCTCCCACACGGAGGAAGAAGGGAACTGACTCCGGCTGCTGTCCTCTGGCCTCCACGCCGGAGCAGTCAAACACACCCACACTCATACACACACACACACACTCACCTCCCACGCACACCCACACTCACCCTCCACACTCACCCCCCAGACACACTTACCTCCCCACACTCACACACACCACACACACCACAAACACACCACACATACACTTACATCCCCCCCTACGTTCAAAAAGATAAAAATATTGAGTGCTTTCATTAAGTAGTGCTGAAAAAACTTATACTTGAGAAAAATTAAAAGACGCATTTTGGGGCTAGGGGGTGTGGCTCCGTTGATGAGTCCTTGCCTAGCATACATCAGACTCTGGGTTTCATCCCCGGCACTTCATGAAATTGGCTGTGGTAGAGGCAGAAAGATCAGAAGTTCAAGGTCAACCTGTACAACATAGTAAGATTGTTTCAAAAAGTAACACACACACACACACACACACACACACACACACACCCCTGCCTCCTGGTCAGGGTTGTACAATGATGGGAAGGGCAAAGACATCAACACAGAAATGTGAAGTGTTAAAAACACAAGTCTTAAGTCCTTCCCACTGGGAGTCTGGTGTTGGGCTTGGGTACAGTGACCCTACTCACGGGAATGTGACCTAATTCTGCCCTTGAGAACTGGTCCAGGGGCCCAGTTCTTTTGGTTGCTTCCGCAGCCAAAGACACCTGCTTTAAAAGTTCTCCTGCCCCGGGGTTGAAAACAACCGAAACCTTGGCAGTGGGACCCAGCACTGCTCTCAGAGGCCTCCTGGCTGCTGATACTTCTATCCCAGCGCCCCTGGCCCCCGCTCCACCTCCCCCATCCGCCCTTCTGCTCACTCCCAATTGCGGGCTACGGCTCCTGGTCTGGTTGCTCTCACTGCCATGAGGCCTGCACTTTGCAAGGCTGAAGTCCAAAGTTCAGTCCCTTCGCTAAGCACACGGATAAATATGAACCTTGGAGAATTTCCCCAGCTCCAATGTAAACAGAGCAGGCAGGGGCCCTGATTCACTGGCCGCTGGGGCCAGGGTTGGGGGTTGGGGGTGCCCACGGGGCTTGACTAGTGGGATTTGGGGGGGCAGTAGGTATAGCAAGCCTGGTTTGTGACTGCCAGCCTGCCGGCAAGTAGACACCGGCTGTGGGTGGGGGAGGCGGCTAGCTCAGTGGCCTTGGGCCGCGTGGCCTGGTGGCAGCGGAGCCATGGTTTCTAAGCTCAGCCAGCTGCAGACGGAGCTCCTGGCTGCCCTGCTGGAGTCCGGCCTGAGCAAGGAGGCTCTGATTCAGGCCTTGGGGGAGCAGCCAGGGCCCTACCTGATGGTTGGAGATGGTCCCCTGGACAAGGGGGAGTCCTGCGGTGGGAGTCGAGGGGACCTGGCCGAGCTGCCCAATGGCCTGGGGGAGACGCGTGGCTCGGAGGATGACACGGATGACGATGGGGAAGACTTCGCGCCACCCATTCTGAAAGAGTTGGAGAACCTCAGCCCGGAGGAGGCAGCCCACCAGAAAGCCGTGGTGGAGACACTTCTGCAGTAAGACCCCACCCTGTCCCCAGCACCCAGTCCATAGCGGCCCACTTCCCGGCTAGAGTCCTCGGGAGCTGTGGCCTTCAGGCTGGTGGTCTCGGGGGAGACAGCCCAAGGGGTTCTTGCCGGACCTACCTACTCCTCCGCTTGGTCCCTATACCCCATATCTTTGAGCTACTGTCTGCAGCCCGGTCCTTAGAAAGGAGACACAGGCCCGAGGTCACTTTGAAATGGAGGACAAAGAAACCAGAATGGTAGAATTCTTTAGCCGCTGTGGTCATTTGCGTTCCTACAAATTCTACCTTCTATGTTAGGTTGTCATACCCCAGGTTTAGCAAAAAGTCTCTGAGGAGACTGGGCTGAGGTCAGGGCTTTTAGGGGATTTCCTGACGCACCAGGGCCTTAAACATCTGACAGGGTAAGCCGGGGATTTTCTTACCTGAGGCAGATGGATCCTAGGGACGACCACTTCCCTGCTAACCCACCTGGCCAGTAGCAGGTTTGGAGGCCTCCCCAAACCATAGCCCCTCATCTGCTGTGTGGCTCCCCATCTCCTGGAGTGCTGGGTGGGTCCCAGTCTTGATGCCTCCCCTCTCCTCAGCAAAGCTGACCTGGTTACTAATTACCCACGCACCTTTATTATTTCTTTTGTTTTATAAATTTATAAATAGCGAAAGGCTCTGATAAGGCCTGTGATCATTAACTTGTCGGGATGTGGCTGGGAGATGCCCAGTAGGGGGTGGGGGGAGGGTGACCTAGGGGCTGTGGGGAACAACACTCCCCATTCCCAAAGCCTCCACAATTCATGTGAATATCTCCCTGCCTGCTACTTTCTTTGGGGATTTCATGGTGCCTACATACTTGTAATATGGACATGGGCCCCTAGAAGGAAGCTGTTACTAAATCGGCTTCACAGATAGTGAACTGAGGCTCAGACTTGGACTGGGGCAGGAGCTCTGAAGAAAAGGGCCTCAGGGCTAGCTGAGGAGTTTGTGGCCAATCTCTGGAGAATATTCAAGAAGCAGCCTCTTTTCTGTCCAAGGTCCTGATCCTGACTTGGGGTGGGGGAGGGCTGGTGGAGCCCAGCATTGCTGGAAGCGTTGGGGAACTTCCCTGGACCTTAGGCAAGGGGCAGGGGAGCAGTCAGGCCCCCTGGCTTGGCAGGAAGAAAAGGGCAAAGGGCTGCCTCTCTGCAGGGGAAGGGCAAAGAGCCAAGTATTGCCAGACCCAGGGCACAAGGAACCTGGTTAGGGTGGGGCTGGGCTTGACCTGTTCAGGGGCCCCAGGTGGGACTAGGGGCTCAGGTGTGAGGCTCAGGGAACAGGGGTGCCAAGGGTCTTCTTACCTGGGTAGGTGGGACCCCTCGATCAGCAGCCCCATGGTAGGGGAAGTAGAGGCTGGAGCGGGGCTGGTCCAAAGCTGCTGAGCAGAGGTCAAAGTGCTCCGTGGGGGCCAGCAGAGTCCTGGAAGCAGACAGGGAGAGGGACGGCAGGGAGGATGAGGAGGGAGAGGGCTGGAGGAGCTGGGAGAGCAGAGGAGCCAGGGAGGGAGAGGGTCTCAGAGCAGCTGGCAGAAGGGGCAGGGGACAGAGGCAGAGCTGGGAGGAGGCTGGAGTTCCTCTCCCAGGTTGGTTTTCTTTAATGCTAACAGCGTGCTATTTGCTTTCCATTTAAATTCGAGATGTTGCTATAAATTATCAACCAGCTCCTTGTTCCTGCGGAGTTTATAACTAACTACCTGGGTTACTTATTGTTCAGGTAACAAAGGGGACCTGAAAATGTCCCAGGGACGAAAGTAGGACCTCTAGTTTCAGGACAGGGGAGTGGGACCTGGGGAAAGGGCGGGAGGACCCCTACCTGATAAAGGCCAGGGCAGTGGGGAGGTTGGGGCTGGAAGAGGGGGTGTAAGGACCAACTCCCTATGGGAGCCGTTGGTTCAAAGACCTACATTTGAAAGAGGGGTGTGGGTCTGGGGTCTGACCCCCCCCATGCTCATGCGTGAGGCCACTGCAGACACCCCAACTCTCCTCTCAGATTTCTATCCTTCAGATTTCTACTGTGTGGCCTTGGGCAAGTCCCTTTCCTTCCCCTGCTTCGGTGCCACCAGGTAGACGGGGAATAAAGGCAAATTCTCTGCCTTGGTTCCAGTTCTCCTCCCCCGCCCCTCTCACCAGCTTCCCTACCCTCCTTATCCTTTCTTTGGTACCTGTGATGCTGACTTTGGCCCTGGATGCACAAGCTGATTTCTACCTCATGACCTTGGCCTGCCCTGGTCTTCCTGATCAGGACCACCACCCCCTCCTGCCCCACTTCTTCCTTGGCTCTTAGCTCCTATCTGCATGTGGGCTGTACCCCACTTTCTCTCTCCTTCACTGTGTCCACCTACTTTCTCCAGACCCTTAACCATTTAGTTATTTTATTTGTGTCTTTGTTCATTGCTTTTCTCCTGATGTGAAGACATCTCCAAGGATGTTCACCCTGGTCCCCCATCCAGCCCTGACACTCCAGGCAGGAGTGAGCGCAGATTAGCCTTCCCTGAGGACACCTCCTGCTCTTCCTAGAGGAGCCTTTGGGATCCAGAGTTCTATCTGGGCTGTTAACTGCTTAAACCCCAGCCTGCTGTTTCCTGACCCTCCCTCCCTGTCAAGCAGCAGCAGGGTTCTTCTAGCTGGAAACACAGCAGTGGGGCAGTGTGCAGAAGGCTTCACTGGACAGTGGCTGCCTTGCTTCCCATCTCAGCTCTGTCCCTTTCCAGCCAGCAAGGTGGGTTCTGTTCCCCGAGTCCCAGTTTCTTCTGAAGAATGGTGAGATCAACACTCAGTCACCAGGTCAATAGCATGACACACAGCTAAGCAGTATCGAACCTGTAACATGAATAGTCCCATTTCATGAATGAGTGAAGGAAGGCCCAATGAGGCAAAATGACTTACTCATGTAGTAAGACCAGACTTGGGCCTGAGATGGCTTAGCCCACGTCTGCACAGCACTCTTAAGTCCCAAGTCTGTCTTTGCATGCTTACCCATGTGCCACCCCCAGCCTGTCTCTGTGTGTCTCCCAGCCTGTCTGTGCATGTTCATCCCCCCAGCCTGTCTCACATGTT